AGGTAAACACTAATTGACTTCAGCAATTCTAACTGCAGTTGCAAACTTATATACATAGCTCCCACCTGCAAGCCATGAGGAGGATCATGGTAATCTCCTCTTGAGTAGACCTCGTTTTTCCCTGATCCTCTCCTCCCTGCATGACCTAGGATGGATAGGGGATGGGCCTGGATCCTCCTCTGACTGCTCAGCCAGCCTCTGCCTTTCCCCAGCCTCCTCCACCACCTCTGGAACCACACTCCCACTCCCTGTTGGCTGTTCCTCCTCTTCCTCAGAGTCAGACTCCACCAGGGGCATGACAATTTTCCTTTTCTTCTTATTTTTTGTGTTGCTGATATAATCCGTTTTTATGTCCACCACTGCACTGTAATCCCCAACTATACATATATTTGTCTGTCCAATTTCTAAAAATTTTCATGCAATTTTCTATAGAATTCACTTTGATTTTCATTTGGGGCATAAATTGTAACTAATAACATTTGTTTCTGACCTATCGCTAATTCAATCATAAAAACTCGTCTATTCGTATCAGCACATATACTGCCTTAATTCTGCCTTAATTCCTTCTTTGATATATACTGCTATTTCTCTCTGTTTCTGTTCTGCCAGGGCTGTGTGTATAATCTTCCCAGTTTTGCGTATTCTAAACATTTTCTATATTGTTCTTTAATGTGTACTTCTTGTAAGCACACTATTTCTACTTTTTGTTTTGCCAATCTTGTTAATATTTGTTCTCTTTTGGTGGGTGAATTCAATCCATTAATATTTAATGATATTAGCCTAATTTCTTCTTCCATCGTCCTACTTGCGACATGGTATCTGTCTTCTATTAATTCTTATGTCCTTTTGTGAGTGTGTTCTTAATCTTATTCTTTCTTTCTCCCTTTGTTTGGTCTCTTCCTTGCTTCCTCCTTCCTGTTCTATTTCTCCTACCTCCTATTGCTGGCTTCCAGTCTCCAATTCTTCCTTGCTGGTACTTTCTTCTTCCACTCCCAGAATTTGGTTGTACAAATCCTGTGCCCTATCCAAATTGTCTAAACTAATCCGCTTCTCCTGCCATGATACCAGCATCCCCTCTGGAATTACCACCTAAACATTATATTTCTCTTAATCACTTGTGCTGCAAGAAATTTGTAGTCTCTTCTCTCTTACTTTCTTTGGGATCTGTTTAGGGTTTGTATCTCTATCTTTGTATATCAGGAGTTCATCTCTCATTATTTTATATATTATACCCCTTACTTTTAGCAAATCTAACGTAGACTTCTCATGGTAGTCTGTTGTGTCTTGCATAACTGGTATGGATTCTGTAGACTTCATCCATTTTATGTAGGAATTCTTGTCTGTCTCTCTGTAGTGCTTGTTCTATCATTATGGTACCCAGATCTTCCTCTTTACTTTCCATAACATTCTGGAACTTCAAGTAGAATGCTGTGTGATCCACCTCCAAAAGGATAATTTGTTCCTCTAATTCCTTGTTCATTGTCATCATTTTTTGTCCACTAGCTCCAATTTCTTCTCATTTTGTTCTGATCTAATTTCCACCGCCTGTATTTTTTGTTCATTCATCTCGATGGCTTGTTGTATTGTACCTACTTTAGTGTCCAATTTATCAATGTTTTCTTTCATTTCCACATGGTTTTTTGACATATTTTTCTGCATCTTCATCATGATTTCTTGAACCACCAAAAGCGTTGTCTGCATTGCTTGTATATTAGATGTTACACTTTGTTTTTCCACACCAAACATTCCCATAATTGTCTTTTGGCCAGATGGAGATTAAATTATCAATGATGGATTAGATGTTGTCTTCTTTGCTGTTTTCAAGGTTGTTGTTTTGGCACATGTCATTTTTTCTAAGACTTCTGCCCATACCACCATCCACTTTGTATTTTATTAGGAGTTGATTGGTCTCTTTTCTCTGCTAATCACTCTACTTTTTATTTTCAATGTCTTCTTCTATCTAATTAGTTAACACAAGCTCTTAAATTCCTCTTATTATTTAAATAATTAAATCTTTCAGTTTCAATATATTTCTATGTATCACAGAGATTACAAATACTACAAATATTTGCTTCTCACTCCAGCTTCATCAATAAATACTTATCTTATATATAATATATAATATATTTCTTAATTCTTTTTGGTCTATGTATTAAATGCTGTTATTTAATTCTATTGTAATAATTATATTAATAATTCAGTAATAATTCAGTAAATAAAGTAACGATTCAACAGTAATTTATCTAATTTATCTATTTATAGTTACAGGTATAGGCTTAAAAATATAGAAGTATAAATATAGTATAAATATATGAATATAAATATATAACTGCAGGTTCTGGTATGTTCGGATCTTTTCCCATGTAAGATTGAGAGTATCTTGGTGACGTTTTGATGAGGTCCCACTCGCCATCTTCAGGCTGGTGCTTTCGGCTTCATGCTCGTGCAAGTACAGCCAGTACCTCAGCCACACAGGTTCTTACGAAAAAGCCAACCAATCTGCAAACATCAAGTCCATCAACCAATCAAGAAATAACAACACAGCCAACCAGCCCACTTACAACAGAGCCAGCACACCACACCTCCCCACCAGTATTTATAGAGAGACGGCAGCGCCGGTCACGCTTTGCTCACACAAGCACGAAGCCAAAAGCACCAGCCTGAAGATGGCGAGTGGGACCTTTTCGAAATGTTGCCAAGATACTCTCAATCTTACATGGGAAAAGACCCGAACACACCAAAACCTGCATACCTACACCCGTGAAAATCTACGAAAACAAATATATAACTGTATCTGTAAATGTTTTCAATTAATATATAGTTTTATGATTACAATAAGAATATATCTATGTATTTTTTCAGATTCTCTTAACTTCTCTTAGTTTCAATGTAATAGGTAGTTCAATAGTCTTACTTAATCATTCACTATCACCACCATCAAAAAACTTCCTTTCAATATAGTTCTCTTATCTTAGGTATTCCTCTCTTGTCCTCCTTCAAATCCCAACTTAACTTTCCACTTTCCCTCTGCTACTTTCTGTTCTTTCTGCCACTCTTCTCTCCTTCAAACCAGCTCCTTCTTCTGATCTTCTTCTATCTGATGTCCGCCCAGTCGTTTCTCTTTGCTGCCTGGTCATTCCTACCGTTTACTTCCTTTTCATTTCGCTGCCCAGGATCTTAGGTTTCCTCCCTATGATCCTTCTCCTTCCTTCTGATTCCTCCCGTGTGCCCACTCATCTCTTCCTCACCTCCTCTCCTCCTAACCTCCTCTTCTCCTCCTACATTCCTTCACTCAAAGTTCTGTGTCCTCTCTTTTCTCAGTCTTTGTCATCTGTGATAATTTGCTGATTCACTGCTCATTTCGCCAAATTGCCACCAGTTCTTTTGAGGATTCCCCCCCACACCAATGGAGCTTCCTTTTCTTGATAAATATTTAGGACTCACCTTTATGGCAAATCACCACCATTGCACCTCTGGGATTTTTGTTCAGGTATAATGACAGAATCTGTTAAAATTATCTTCCTTATCATCTGTAGCTTGTCACAGCCTTGGGTCTACCAACTTTTGGGTTTGAAGAGTTTCCTTTCATGGCGGTGGGTGATCGCCTTTCACCTCACCATCATTCAGGCTTCCCCTATATTAAGCACAGTTCTCCAGGCTCTCTACGACCCCGAAGGGTCCCCAAAAGTGAAAAGATCAGGGTCTAAGAATGGAGACCATTCTCTTTCCCCATTTTCACCATGATGTCACCACCAGAAGTCCTGCTTCCTTTTATTTTTAATAGTCTTGATTTTTAGTCCCTTCAAATAATGTTCTAGAATTTGGTTTCATATTTTTTATCTTTTTTATAATATTTTTAAGTTTAAAAGTATAAAGTTAAAAAAGAATACAAATTAATTTTTTTTAAATCCCTTCTCACATTCTTCAAAAAATTAACCAATCTTGAAGAACACTCAGAGACTTTAATGGTCCAGAATGCAGTGGCATATACAGTAGTGGCCAAAATTGTGGAAACCTTTTGGGAAAAGTGTATTTTTGAGGCTTGATGGCTAATAACACCATTTTTTGGAGTAGTACCATAAAATTATATATCAATGGAAAGATAATTTAAACAAGAATGTAATGCATTAACTTTTATGAAGGATTTGCTCTTAGAATAGCAGATATTAAGAAGAAAAGTGAAACATGTAGAAAAAATGAGATATACAAAAAAATACCACGTCAGTTAATACTTAGTTGGGAAATCTTTAGCATGAATAGCCTTACAACGTCTTCCCATGGAGTGAACCAAGTCTTTTCATTCTGCAGCTGTTATAATGTGAAACCAAGATTGAATGATTGCTTCTATTACCTGGGTTTTATTGCTGAGTTGCTTCTGACTAACATTTCTTTAGTTGGCTCCATAGATTTTCAATTGGGTTAAAGTCTGGGTTATTCCCGGACCATTCCTGCAGTGGAATATAATTATTTTGAAATCACTTTTTGCACACAGCAGCAACATGACATGGAGATGAATCCTGTTGAAATATAAATGTTTCATTGTCTTGGAAAAGATCATGTGTGGAAGGCTTCAGTTTGGGCTCAAGTATTTCCTTTTTGTATTTTTGGCCATTTATTTTCCCATTAATCGCACAAATTCTGCACACACCTTTTGATGTCATACAACCTCAGATCATAACACTGACTGGGTGTTTCATAATACATGTAATGCAATCAGGATACAAATCTTCTCTGGTTCTTCTCCTTACACATTTTATGCCATCACTACCAAACAGGGAGATCTTGGACATATCACTGCAAATAACACTGTCCCATTGTTCCTCTGCCCAAGTAACATGGGTTTTAACCCAATTTAGCCTTTTCAACCTTTGTTTGAGAGATAAAAGTGGCTTTTTCATGGAATTCTAGATTTTAGGCCAAATTCCTGCAGTTTGCGCTGAACAGTTCTAGCTCACCCTGCACTCAACTTCCCCTTGTATTTCATCTTATATACACCCAGATGATTTTCTTCTGTCACGTAGGCATGGTCTCTTAATTCTTCTATAATCACTTGCTGTTGTGCACCTTTCCCTGCCTTTACCAGTGTGGTTTTGTAGAGACTGAATCTCCTTATACCTCTTCAAAAGCTTAGAAATGCCACCTTTGATTAAGTTTCCACCAATTTTTCTTCTAATTTCTTTACAACTGTAGCCTTGTTCACTTAATAATACTATTTAACATTGCTTTCTGGGACACCAGTCAACTCTTTGCACCATTACTTTAATTTTATTATGTTTTACAAGCTCACTAAATGAAAGAACAAAAAAAATGCAACTAACTTGATAGTGATCACACAACACACTGACAAATGTCCTCCTCTCAACTTCAAAACATGACATCAATAACTGAATCCTATTGGAAGCCATATTCCACACTGCCATATAGCCTGGGAGAGTGGAAGGGGGTGATTTCAATTAAGTAGCTCTAAGTAGACAAAATAAAATTCTTCTGTTAGTTCAAGGTGATTTAGTATGGCGCAGGATGAAATAAGGATCTTACTTTTGGATGGACCGTGATTGGACCATGTGATGTGATGATGACCAAGGGGGATGGATTTGTAGCTTGAGGAATTGTGGAAAGCCAAAAAATCTTTTAGATTCGGGTTGCCACAGATGTGCCAGATGCTATTCTAATAAAGGTACTTTTCAGATATGTTTGTCTCGGAGTTACTGATTGGAATAGAGGTTTACTGGAACGCTGGCATCTATTGTGATCTGATTGGCTCATTGCCAAAACAAGATGACACCTGATTGGCTCTCTAAACATTCATGCTCATGGGTTACAATCAGATGAAGGAAAGCTACCATCAACCTAAGCAAGTTGTGCTTCCTTTTTCTGGTTATTTCACTATAACTTTTCATAGAATATAGATAATTGAACAAACTTTATTGCATTACACTCTTGATTAAATTATCTTTCCATTGATATATAATTTTATGGTACTACTCCAAAAAAGTAGTGTTATTAGCCATCAAACCTCAAAACTACACTTTTCCCAAAAGGTTTCCAATCTTGAAGAATACTCAAAGGTTTTAATGGTCCAGATTGCAGTGACATATATACTATATAAGTGTCATGGTGGGGCAGTGGTTAAAATGCAGTATTGCAGGCTACTTCTGCTGACTGCTGACTGCCTGCAATTTGGCTGTTCAGATCTCACCAGGCTCAAGGTTGACTGAGCCTTCCATCCTTCATTTAGTAAAATGAGGACCCAGATTGTTGGGAAAATTTGCTGACTTTGTAAACCACTTAGAGAGGTCTGTAATGCACTGTGAGGCAGTATATAACTCTAAGTGGTATTGCAATTGGGCACATGTGTTTAACAATAAGGTATAAAAAATTTCCCCAATTTGGTAGATAGAATGATGAATCAAATTACCCCTTGGTAATTGGCCAGTAAGCTTATTGAATGAATTGTAAACCATGAGAGCTAGAGGATTAGTTGAGGAATAGATATATTGTGCTGAAATTTTATGACAGAGATTGAGTTCATATCTTCATTCAACTAACCCTAAAGCAGGAGTGAGCTGGCAAACTTTTGATAGATGCAGTAGACCACACTTATCTGTGATATTGAAGGATGTTATGGTGGGCAGAGTACCAAGTGAGTAAAAGTAGCTAGAATTATCTTCATTTATTTGGCTTTTAGTATTTTGGGTTTAGCAGTGAAGTTTTTCAAGTATTTCTCACCAGAAAATGGTGGGAAACTAAGTTGCCAGTTTCTGGGGGTAATTTTACTAGAGTTCAGTAGTGTAAGTGAAAGAAGGAGGAACCATAATGAGGGTTGGATGTAACTCATGCCTGTAAAAGCTGTTAAAAGTTGGTGGGAAAAGCCCATATTCATTACCCTGAATGGATTGAGTATTTTTTATTTAAAAACTGAGATTACAATGTGACATTCATTACTGCAGTCATAGTTGAATTATTAGTAAACTTATCTAGGAGCAGTAATTGACATAATAAAAGACAGGTTGAAAATTTAAGAGGCTTGTCTAGAACATAGTAGAAAAAACAACCAAAATATATCAATCATCATTATATCTCTTCCTTAAAGCTGAGATATTAAAGACAAATCTCAGTTTTTAGGTTTGTATGTGATAATTACCTACACTACTTTTTAAAAGTTATATCAGAGTGCAAATTAGCATGCTCATTTCCTAGTTTCCAGGCAAAGCTAATTCTCCTATGGGACAGTATTGATTTTTACATCAGAGAACACTTGCTTGCTTATTAGAATGAAAGGGGAGTTCAATTCCCAAGAGGCTAGAGCAGGCTCCAAAGGAACATATTGATGAATGTTACTGGGCTGTGTGCCAGAACTGACATCTCTCCACCCCCACCCCCACCCCCCACTTCTTTGTTACACTTTGACTCTCTCATTCTTGTACATCAGTGAGCACAAACCACTGAACATCCAAAGGAACTGAATTACTTTAAAAAATAACTTTCCATTGTATCACACAAGGATGCAATCATGCAAATGATGTTTTCACAGGTTCTTTTACAGGAAGTCTAAAACCGGAAATAGCTTCAGGTAATCATGTCGTGACTGTACAAAAATACAGTGAAAGCAGATAATATTTAAAGAAATGTATTTTAAATTATTGCAACCTGCAGGATTTCAGTACTCATATGAATATCTTTCTGACTGAAGTTCTTCAAATCAGTGGGATTTGCATTTCAAAGCCCCCCTCCCTTTTTTTTTTGCACTGATTCTGCTGTTTATATATGTGAGTGTCTTATTGTTAGTATGAGTTTGTGTCTATTCCTGAAAATCCAGCAGCTATTCTTATGGGTCTGTTGTACACATTGTAAAACTTGATTCCTATTTCTATTCCTTTTCTAATCTTGAATTGTATTCTAGAAACTGGCTTTGCACATTTTCCAAGGACAAGTCATTTTTTTTCCTGAAACTTAAGATTAGTGCAAAAATGCCTTTCCAGTTCTCTCCCTTGAAATGGGAAAAATTGACTGCTAGTTGCCATGCTTCTTGAGTAAACAATTACTACCTGAAAAAAATGTAACAGATTCATAGCAAGTAGCATATTTTTGGATGATCATAAAATTGAACAGAGCAGCATTCATTGTTTCTATGGGTTCCTATAGTTTCATTAACTAAACTTTTGTTACAAAACTGATTTATCAAAATGCAGTTTAAAGAAACAAAACTAAAGCCTGCATAAATTTGCATTGGCCTTTTCTTTGGTTTCTCTTCAAACATAGATTTTTAAACATTTAAATATTCAGATTTTTAAAGAAAAGAACTCCAATACTTAAAACAGTATGCACTTCCCTTTAACTGTTCCAATCCTTATACTGTATTGCTTTGAGAGGGTAATTTGATAGGTTCTCTTATAAAGTAGGGTAAACCAAATTCTTTGTCACCTCTATTATCTTGGGATATTATAGGACATCTCTTTTCACATGAATTTTTTTTTATCTAATTGGAAGAATTGAGTGCCTTTAAAATAAGATTATGCAACTGATTTTCATCAGGACCCATGTTTCCAATTTCCTCAAGCAAAAGTTATTCTCAGAAATAAAGGCATACTAAGACAAAATAATAGCAAAACAAACATCAATAGTACTCATGTTCAGTAACATTTTAATGTGACAAAACTCGTATCAACTTTTTTTGTATCAATTTCTTCTGAGATAAATGTCTTGAGTCTTACATTAAAATTGCAGACCTCTTTTAAAGCAGACCAGCATTCACAAGAAAATCTAGTGGTGGAGTTGAATCAAATCTAGAATGTTTTCAAAAGAGTTTTTATTATTATTACGAATACAGGTAGAGTAGTGTGAGTTCTAATAGTGTAAAATTTGATCTAGTGTAGTTTACAAATTGATACCAATTTAAGCAAGCCACTGTTCAGGGAGTGCAAGGCTAGCTCATGCACAGTTGACAGTAGCATATGGACTATTGGGATTTTAGAAGTTAATTGTTTTATGTGCAAAATGGTGAAGAGGTTTCCATTCAAGCAAAACTAAAAAAGGGGGAAGATGATTTTGAAGAGTACAGGAGATAGCATTGGATATGTGTTTATCCTTTTTTCTGCTACAGAGTGATCCATTAATAAACATGCAAAAATTTATGTTTAAAATTGTTAATTGCCTATTTCTACTGAGTTGGAACCAATTATTCTATTTTCCATAGAAATATCATTTCAAATATTACAGATCTGTATAATGCAACCATTTTGTGGGATTCATTAACCCCACTAATCGAGATCTACCTTATTATCAAATCAAATCAAACTGCTGCCAGCTATTTTTCATTCAGCACGTCCTCAGCTTTTTCAATTGAGTGCTATAATATTGTGAATTGAATGTCTGCCACATACCTAAAGAGCTGCCACTCTGCCCCTGTGGTGAGGGAGAAATTAAAACCTTGGTTTGCTGCACTGTCTTTTTTTATATAGAAATTCAGAAAGGTCAGAGGCTGATTACCAGGGTGGAGGATTTAAGGATTTATATTCCTTGCAATCATTTGGTTGTTAGCACTCTCTCTCTGAAAGTCGTTGAGACTACTTGAGGTTTATATGTGCCCTTGAGGGTCACCTGAATAGTGCAAATGGCTGTGGAACCATCTTGGAACTGCTGAAACATGGACTGATGGATGGATGGATAGATTGATGGGTGGGTGGGTAGACGGATGGAAGGAAATATTTCCAAACCAAATTTCTGAAATATAACTTCAGCCTCAATTATAGGAGGGGAAAATTGCTAACAATGAAAGCAAATGCTATGTATGAATCTGAATGTGAAAGATAGCTTGCTTGCTTTTTTAAAAAAATTAAAGAACATTCTTTAATCTACCAATCTGAATGTGAGATGAGATGACTCACCAAAATTTAATAGTGACTAAAACAAAAACTAGTAATTTTTATCACATTTCAAAGCTATTTGATTAAGATATATCATCTTTTCCAAATATTTACTTTGCTGCAAATTGGAGATACATAGAAGATGCGAAATAGGATCTGAATTTTAATCTTCACCTTCTGTTCTGGTTCAGGTCCCTCAATAAGGTCTAGAGTTTGCTTCAGACAAAAAGACCTGAATTCTATCTTTAAAATTCAATTATATTGTGATTAAAAAGGTGGGGGTTCCTACCATTCAAGGGCTCATTATACGCACAAAAAGGGGGTGTTCACAGAGGCCATTGAGAATTTAAAAGATTTATTTATGATGTATGACTGTAAATTTTAATTTAGACATGCAAATTTTTTAATTTGCACTGACTGCTTTGCCTTAATAGTTTTGATTAATACTTGGAGGTAGTGTTTGTGAAAGAGATTTATACTGTGATTCATCTGCAAAATAATCAAATCATTACCAGCTAATGACAAAGCTGTGAAAAATGATGCAGATATTGTGTAACTTGCAGCTAATGCAGTTCATATGAATGTACCCCAATCCTTCCAGCAAACACAGACATGTGTTAATAACTGCTGGGAAGTTCGCTTTAGGTCCATTCTAATTTGGCAACAAAAACATTGATCTTAATAAAGCTGTCAGATAAAAGGAGCCATGATTAACATCCCTGAACTCTTTATTCAACTAAGATTGTCAAAAATACTTTTTTTTATATGCTCTCTTTAAGAAACAGGATTTAACCATATTTTTCACTTCTGTTCCTATCTCACTTAACTCTTTGTAAAAAAGAATGTGTTCTGCATTAGAAATTTCAATTCTATTTTCATTGGGGTGGAGGTGGGAAACTTCTTATAACAGTCTTGTGTAATTTTTTTACCACCATTACCAGGTCAATTTTCCCTTTCTTGGGTATGTTCCTTCAACATGACTCTGTTACTATGATGCCATCATTAGTTAAGATAAGAATAGACAACTGTACATCTTTTTCATTCTGTGGGTTGCTAAATAGATGAACATTGGGGTCTCTTGTTTGTTTTTATAGGTCAAAAACATTTTAAGAATTAATCTGTATCCATTTTCCCATCCTACTGAATTTTCATCTAGGATTTATCCTTATTTATGCAATTTTCATTAAAAAATGTAAATGTAATTATTTTGTAGACATATTTCAGAAGCACATTTCTTTTATAAATTTCTTTTATAAAAGTTTTTTCACACTCTCTTGTGTCAGATTAACTTCAAGCTGTTGTTATATCTGATCCATGTTCCTTATATTGCTACTCTAATGGCAATCACAAATATAATTATAAAGAGGTGTTTCACTTCTGTTTTGAGCTTTTAATCAGGAATTTCATGTATATAATACTTACATTACAAAAAGTTACATTGAATAAGCTCAGTATTAACTACCTTTACTGTTCTTGCCAGAGGATCTATAATACATCTGCACTGTCTTTCGGTAAAGATCAAAATAACTTCACTTTCTAGTGGAAACTTTTGGATCCAAATTATTTATTTATCTAAGATCTAAATCATATCAACAAAACCTGAAACTTTATTTTTAAAAAATATATATATAGTGCTCTATATATTAAATTTTCCCATATTGTTTCTGTGGCATTGTCCATCATCACAAGAACACACTAAAAAAAGGGTAATATTTTTGGAATAAGACTCTTATTGTTCTATACATTATTTGTATGACATACAACTTTCTAAAGCTACTTTATAACTATTAAATATCTTGGTTTTAAGGAGAACACAGGACAGAAAGCAATTTAACCAGTCAGCAATGCATTTAGGTGTACAAAAATATTAAAATGCCCATGAAATTTGCAAAGGAAATTCTTACTGACATCTACCTTTTAATTATTCCTAATTTTATTATGATTGAAAATAATATTCCATAAAGAATCCTTATTAAATATTGAAATGGCACCCTTGGAACTCAGTTTCCTTCCTATGTTTCTTTTAACCAGTTCCTTTACACTGTAAACTTTGGCAATGGAAATTGTGAAACCAACCACTCTAAATTTCATCTTTGGGCTTGTCTACAAGTCAGATGTACACTGCATAGTCAGGACTTTTAGATTCTGAGCATCTTATTGATTTCCATTCAACCTATCCATGGTAAACATCTTAGGTTGTGATTCGCAATGTTTGCAACAAAGAATCATCCAATATTAAACTCTCTTTCCTAAGCTGAATTTTTGGGAAATACAAGTTTCTGTTGTCTTGCGATACTAAAAATGTTCCCTAAGTTCCCTACCACCTTCCAGGGTAACCTAAAACTTTATTTGCCACCATTATTGATTTTGTTTTTTACCTACAACTGAGCTATTCTTCAAGAAGCAGATAATTTTTATCTTTGAAATTATATCATATAGTAACTGCTATATAAATTAGGATAAGATAAGATATGGGTAAAAATGATTTACCATTGATTGTGTACTTACATTTAATTTGTATTAACTCTATTAACATGAATAGAACAGCATTACCTTAGAAAATACTTAGAAACCAAAATATTGGAACAACATAAACTCAATACATCTTTGCATGATGAAGGTCAGGATGATCTTTTCGTAAATTGAGAAGAGAGCTTATCTGCATTTTATACATATACTGATCTATGAGGTCACAACAGTAAAGCTGACAGGATATCAGTTAGATAGACTGCCAAGTAGCCAGATGCTAGTGTCAGAGGAACATGCTCCATAGCATTGCTTTTAGCACCTGGATTATATAATTGCCCTCCAAGATGGAAGGAGGAATGATAAGCTACCTAATATTGTAAGTGATAAGGTAAGCCTTTTCTGTCTTCAATTCCAGGGCTCCCTTATACATAAAACACTCTCAATGTTCCTAACTTTGAAAATATTCAGATAGATATTCAACAAAATAATTCTAAAAGAAAGAGGGCTGGAGAAATAAAGTTTATCTTGTTGTTAAAATATTTAATATCTTATAAATTAAGATAGTCTTCAATAGAAAATGCAGTCTTCAATATAAAATTCTAATATTGTGTGACATGATTTATTATTAAATGCATTCTGTATATATATTTATTATTCTGTCCCATAAAATTACTAATTGATTTCATATTGGTGGATCTTCCTATTTTATTCTAAAAGAAATGTCTGGGTGCAACTGTTATTGTCGAGACATAATTCTTTCAAGCACTTAACCTAAGTTCTTGGGATCTTCAGGAATTGGACAATATTTATTCAGGAATGATCGAACTACTACTACTCTGAAATAAAGCTGATACGTAATGAAGTATTTAAATTGGTCTAGGTCCAATTAGGCAGCCATTTTTACTAAAGGTGATAATTTATGATGGGGTTCTATTAACAAAAAGCACTCAACATAAAATGTTTTAAACATTTGCAACAGCCATTTTTGCCTCAAATGTTCTACTTCAAAAATCTTTTCTGGGTGAGGAAAAGGAATAGTTCTGCACAATAGTTAGAATATGCCTACTGAATAGGACAACAAGGCTATTGCAATTTTAATTATTAAGGCTTTGGCTTTCAAGAGCTATTGCTTTGCAAGCAGACACAGCACTGCAGTGAAATTGCCAGCCAGGTGAAATGAGGGGATCACCTACTTGTGCTAAAAAAGAACTGCTTTTCATAAGAAGACCACAGGAATTTAATTATTGCAGTTGCTAGTGAGTCAACGGGCTTGGGAGCCAAAGGAATTTACAGTATGCCTTCAACCGCTGTGCAACCTTCACAGACAAAGCTTGTTGTGAAAACTGACAAAAGCCTCATTTTCTTAAACATTTTATGATGTAATTAATTTACAACATAAGATATTCAAAATGGCAGTAAATGTTGAAGACTTTGGTGAGTTCAGGAAGAAGACTTCTTAGAATCGTGAGAGCTGACAGTTATTATTCAACAAATTAAGCTTTAACAGAGGAAACAATGAGATGGAAATAAAGATATAAACTATACAAAAATAGAAATGTTGAATTTGCAAATAAACTGGGGAGGCATACAAATTGTAAAAAGAAAAAAGAAATGTATCAAAATTAGTAGGAAGGAATATTGTAATAATAGTTAATGCAAATATTCAAAAACTGTGTCATCAGTATTACACTACTTTATTCAAAGATCAAGGAATTACTTCAGAAAAAGTGAGTGAAAATTTTACCAAAGATTACACACAGAGACAATTTTTGAATGGATCTATAATAATAAGGGAACTGTGAAGCTACAAAAAGACTAAAACAAGAAAATTACCTAATCCAGATGAGTTTTATTTATTTATTTATTTGATTTGATTTGTCAATTGCTTACAAGATAATAAGTATAAATATGTACATAGTTATGAATACATGAAATGGGTACATATAAGAAAAATAAAAGAAACAATAGGACAGGGACAGTAGGCACGTTGGTGCGCTTATGCACGCCCCCTACAGACCTCTTAGGAAAGGGGTGAGGTCAATAGTAGACAGACTAAGGTTAAAGTTTTTGGGGTTTGGGGAAGAAACCACAGAGTCAGGTAGAGTATTCCAGACATTGACCACTCTGTTGCTGAAGTCGTATTTCCTGCAATTAAGTTTGGAGCGGTTAACCTTGAGTTTGTATCTATTGTGTGCTCTTGTGTTGTTATGGTTGAAGCTGAAGTATTCATTGACAGGTAGGACATTGCAATGTATGATTTTATATATCATACTTAGATCAGACCAAAGACGGTGTAATTCAAGGTTTTCTAGGTCTAGAATTTCAAGTCTGGTGGCATAAGGTATTCTACAACGAGTAGAGGAGTGGAGAACTCTTCTTGTGAAATATTTCTGGACTTTCTCAACTGTGCTAATATCAGATACGTAATGTGGGTTCCAGACTGATGAGCTGTATTCGAGTATTGGTCTAGCAAATGTTTTGTATGCTCTAGTTAGTAGTGTGATATTACCAGAGAAAAAGCTACATAGGATTAGGTTAACAACTCTTAATGCCTTTTTGGCTATGTACTTACAGTGGACTCTAGCACTTAGATCATTAGAGATGAGTATTCCAAGGTCCTTTACAGAGCTTGGATCATCAACAAGATCTGACTATTCAGCTTGTATTTTATTTTCTGATTTATTTTTTTTGCCAATATGTAAGACAGAGCATTTATTTGTTGAGATTTGAAGTTGCCATTTCTTTGACCATTCTGATACATAGTCAAGATCTTTTTGAAGGGTAGCAGTATTGTCTGTGGTATTGAACAGCTTTACATCATCAGCGAAAAGAATGCAGTTGCTCTTAATATGATCACAGAGGTCATTTTTGTACAGTATGAAGAGAGTTGGTCCTAGAACACTGCCTTGGGGGACACCACTATTGACAGGTACAGAATTTGATAGGACACTCCCAATTTTGACCATTTGTTTTCTGTTTGACAGGATAAGAATAGCTATCTCAGCAATGAAACCATCAAGGCATGCTTCTGGTTCCCTGGGAGCTACTGATTACGTAACTAGGTCTTGGGGGATTTGTGGAATGTCAAAAAACAAAGAGCTAATTTAAACTCAGAGAGAAGAATGTTCCATAAGGTGGGCACCATAATGGAGAATATGCTGGAACCCATCAAATGCATATCCCCAACATGCCTTCTGTGTCAGATCTAATGGGATGAGTTGATATACCTGGTGAAAAGTGATTTCATATACAGCCTCATCCCAGATCATGAAGGATTTTAAAGATTAAAATCAGCACCTTTAATTGGACCCTGATGCAAATTGACTTGCAGAACAGAGATGTGACATGCATTCTTCTATGAGGTCACATAACTGCCATTGCCATTGCATTCTATAACAGCTGCAACTGCCAGATACTTTTCAAGATTATTCAATTGAAATCAGAACTTTTTTTTAGGACTAGTAGATAAATAGAAAAAAACGCCATGGAAGATTATTTTAATATATGATTATTGAGGTGTGATTACTACAGTATATGCATAGAGAGAGAAAATTCAGCATTGTGGAAAGATAGTTGGTGTCTGATTTTGCTGAAATGGATAAAATAACTTCTTTGATTAGAAAAAATATACCATCTCCATTTATTGGTGGCTGGAAGTTCTGATAGACTTTATTGCATAAAATGAAAAAAGTGAACTCATTATTTATGGTTTTGATGCTAGATAGCATAGTTTATAGAAAGAAGGGAAGTATCATGTAACTTTAGAGAATTAAAATATATTTGCATTTATAACTGCTGTGAAGATTATCAAAAGCCGCTTTTTCTTTTCTATTTTTC